TTTTTTTTTTGCGACCAAAAAAGTCACATCTCACCATTACCTAATCATTCAAGTTGCGGGAATTTGACCAGTCCCGCCTGGATTTGAAACCCGGCTGAATATTTCATTGCATGTATTGCGTGACTGATTGAACGCGTGACGTTGTAATCGATTTTTTCCGCGCCAAAAGTGGTAGACATTTTGGATTTATGGCGGCGTTAGACGAGGTCGGTGTTGATTTTATTGAAAGTTTCCTGAAAAGAGACGGAAACACAACAAAAGCTCTGTCAGATCTTCTTAAAAGTACGTTTCCACAGAAAAGAGGCTTTGGTTTGCGGAGTATAGAGAGATTTTGTCAAAAACATGGCATCAGAAGAAAGGGATATGTTTCAGATGAAACTCTAGATGAAGCTGTCAACAGAGCTATCTCACAGGTAATTTTACTCTTGTTCTATTCACAGATGCGCGAAGTTAATGTATGTTATCAAGCCATAGAGTAAAAATACTAGAGCCGCGAAAAAAAATCTAGAAACAAGCTTAGGAATTTGTATATACACAAAAGAAAATAACYGTCATGACTACGGTAATAATTTWAAAAAAATACTAAAGTATTTACAAGGCTTTGATTACGATTTGAAATATAATAAGAATGCATTATGTGACTAAAATCTATAATAATAATAATATAAAATTTAAGACATATTTAAATATAATAAAAATATGAGTGAGATTTACACTGGTTTGCAGACTGTAAATAATTAGGAGTAGTCAGACTTTATATATAAAGAAGAWGCACTTTTGGGAATGCCCAATCACTATTATCATGTATTATTGTTGTTTGGAGAACGTGAAATGTGAAATTATATTCGAAAGTTGCTCTTGGTATCCTACACTATCTCTATTCACATAGTATAACAGATCGCTTTCCTGATATGATCACTGCTTTGCAAGAGGCGCTAGCCGTCCAATAATTTCTCTCGGGGTTAAAAACTCACATTTATCAAAGGGTAGAGATGCCTCTATACCCCTTCCTCCCTCCCTTTTGTATACTGACTGCATTCTCCGTGACTTGAAAGTAGAAGTCTTTTTTAATAATAAGCATATCCTGTAATGTTTATTGTGTATTTTTCACATGTAAAAATGCTTTGTACTCTTTGTATGAAGGATGGGTGATTTTCGAGTTACGAGTATTTTCCTTCGTCTGCTTAAAAAAATAAAAGACTTTNCAGATCGCTTTCCTGATATGATCACTGCTTTGCAAGAGGCGCTAGCCGTCCAATAATTTCTCTCGGGGTTAAAAACTCACATTTATCAAAGGGTAGAGATGCCTCTATACCCCTTCCTCCCTCCCTTTTGTATACTGACTGCATTCTCCGTGACTTGAAAGTAGAAGTCTTTTTTAATAATAAGCATATCCTGTAATGTTTATTGTGTATTTTTCACATGTAAAAATGCTTTGTACTCTTTGTATGAAGGATGGGTGATTTTCGAGTTACGAGTATTTTCCTTCGTCTGCTTAAAAAAATAAAAGACTTTAAACAATGAGYTCTTTTTTACATTGATTTTGATTTAAAAGGGCGTAACTGGAAGACACTAAGCTGTGTTGGTTGCATCGAGTTATGCGCTGGGCGTGGCCGAGATAAATTTGGGCGTAGTCGAGCGCGTAACTCGAAAAACGCGTAACTCTAAGGTTACGCGATCCCCTTTGTATGCGGTTGTTGAATAGAGTTCAAAATTTAAGAAAAAAAATTAAAGTATTGTAATTTTTCATATAACTTTTCTGTCATCCATTCCCTGTTCTCCCTGGCAACTTTATGTGACTTGGCTACATATTGGACAGGGTTGTACCAAGGGTGGGTGATATACTTAAGAGTTTATGTGGATATTAGCATTAATCAGTACTTCATTCTGGAAAATAGTTCTGTGTGTTATATATTCAGGTTGGTCCTGTGTATGGCCGTAAAATGATGAAGGGTTTTCTAGACAGTCAAGTAAAAGCACATCCCATCGCTTCAGCTGTTCGTATTGGTCACTCACTAAAGAGAGTCAATCCAGTTTACAGTTATCAGCGTCGACAAGGAACTGAACGGCAAACAAATCCAGCTCCTTACGTAGCAGAGTACTATGRGCACAAACTCCATATAGACCAGAATGAGAAATTGTCGATGTATGGAGTAACT